ACTCCATTAAAGTTGCAGGACTCACCAGATCTCAAGTCTTCTGTTCTCTGTTGACGTCCCGATGCCCATATTTAACGTGTAGATGTAAAACTATTCCGATATTAGTCCATAAACTCGTGAGCAGACATACAGACAGCTGTAGCTCCGCAGGAGAGCCGCTCAAACTGACGTGGAAGTTTCAAATTGGATTGGAAGGCGCGGACAGTGCTCATTGGCAGGTTTTTTCGATGACGTTTATATCAACCAATCAGGAGTGTTGTGGACTCATTCCAATCCTGCTTATCTTGTCTGCCGTTGTATGGCTGGATTCCATTTTAAGTGCCGTAGCTTTTTACATACATTTTACGTATTTTTTTATTTGACACTTTTTTTTACAGTTAACTATTTTAGTATACTATGAAAACTACTTTATTTACACAAAATCATTTTTGGGTATTTCTGCAAGATATTACATTTTTTGTGAAGATGTATACATTTATTTAACATTTTAGAGATGTTTTATAATAAGATTTATTTTTATTCTACAACAGTACAGAATACAGTTATTTTTAGTTTTTTTACATTTTGTTACATTAATTTTAAGGTTTTACTGCAACAAAAAAAAAAAGTTGCCTTCATTTTACATGCAGTAAAATTATGTGTATTTTATGTGTTTTTACATAGAAATCAATGTAATTTAACATTCAAGACAATTAAACAATGGAATTATCCTGTAAAAAACGATAATTTCTCATCAAACCAATTTACAGAATAAAACCTTTATTTATTTTTCAATAAAACTAATTTACTGTATTTGTATGGTATTTACACGTAATATAGAAAAACAAGAAAGGTCTGTAAAATAATACAGTACATTTCTGTGAAAAAACTTTTTTTACAGTGCAGTCCAATGAGATGCCAACACTCCCTTCATGCGTCAATTCAACCTGACTGACACCATCAATCAGAAAGATGAAAATCTACTGTGTCCTGGGAATCCAGGTGCAAAGCGTGTCCTTGGAATCCAGGTGCAAAGCATGTCCTTGGAATCCAGGTGCAAAGCATGTCCTTGGAATCCAGGTGCATCTTGTACATGAGGGGGAGGGTCTTCTTGATAAGGAAATACTTATGATATACATAGAACCTAAGATTCACTTTCATGCATAGATTAGTGTTTATAAAATGTACCAAGAATAATAATATTGTTGACCAAAAAATCCTCTTTGCAACTTTCCATAAAAGATGTATCTATGGGGAAAGTGTTGCAGTCAAAGAACCTTAGAAGTTTAATATTAATTTAGATTTGACAAAACAACATAATTAAAACTATAACATAATATAAAACACTTTCTTAAAATAAAACAACAACAACTGGCCCTCAGTGTAAAGTCAGGTCTCTTTATTAAAGCACAGAGTGAACATATCCAGATGTTGAAGTGTTATAGGAATCTGATGTTGCTTCATCAGCAATATTTCCAACTACATGGTGTTAACAGTGATTCTCTCAAACAAAACAAGTTCTGCATTTTTATTCATGAGCTGTGAGTTCTGCACAAAGAAGGAAATAAACAAATGCTGAAATAAGTGATAGGATATTCCCAACATAATCAAAATGATACATTTAACAAAACAGATATTCTTTGTCTTTGACTTAAACTATGATTTCATATGTCATCATTCTAATGTTGATAAAGCATGTCTAATCTTGACCTCAACAGAGAAACCCACCCACACCGGTTTCATGAGAGAAAAGACTCCTCTTGTGTTCTCTAAATATAACTCGCTTTAAAAAAAGACAAAGCAAAAGCAATTGGCTCTTGAAGAACCTTATGTCCTAAAATAATGAGCATAAATTCAACAGAATAAGCAACTATGTTTCCCCATTATGTTTATATTGTATTTCAACATCAGTTTTGACAGAGCGATTGCCGGATATATAATGCTTGAGTATATGTTACTACGATAGAAAGTTCCTATGAAGAAATATTGTTCAACTGTTCGTAAAGCATCGACTTTAAACAGTTTGAGAAGATGATGAAATCAACATTCACTGAAAACAAGTCACTTTTTTATATCCTCATTTGTTCTCGTCCCTCTGGGTTTGAATGAATGTGTGATTCTGTGGAGCACGTTAAAGTTAGAATGGGATGTTAGGTTGCCATATCAAACTTTAGAGCGACCAAGAAGCTAAGAGTTCTTCATCATTGCCTTAGTGGGAGGAGTTGGGACATGTTGACCTCTCAGGTGTTCAACAGGTTTACCCGCTTCACACCAGACAATAACTGCACACAATGTTAATGAATGGGAACTCTAACCAGAGTACAGTGAAGACCACTCCCCAGAGTACTTCATCATATAAGCTAAATTATTGAAAGCAATAATAAAACATTCCCCTGTCCCTCTTTGAATGCATTTTTTATTTTGTGAAGCAAGTTTAAGTTAAATTGGGATGTTATAGGTTTCCATTTTAAACTTTAGGCAGACCAAGAATGGCCGACTGTGTGTAGATGTGTGTGAACGTTAGGCTACTGAGCAGGTGTGTGACAGCCTCTGCCTCTATGAATGTGTGTGAATGGCTGCCAATGTAAAAGCGCTTTGATGGGTCGTAAAGACTGGAAAGGCGCTGTATGAATCCAGTTAATTTACAATTCAACTGGACACAGGTAGGCATAGTTGGAATCAAAATGAGCCCTGAGGCCTGGGAGAAGAGGCGCAGTGAATGTGGTGCGAAAGGTGTACAGGTGAGTCAGTGTGTGGCCGGAGACTCCGTAGAAGGACAACGTGCCAGCAGGCCAGTCCAGATACAACCCGAATCTACTGAACTCACCAATGGGATAAGGTACATGCCACTCCAGCTTGCGGGCATGGAATGCCTTAAGTTTGGCTTCATTGCCGAAACACCAGCATGCTGGATCAAACCAAAACTTGCTGTTTATTCTGTCAACTCCCTTGTATGAAACAGCAGCAAACACACACTCATTGCCAGTGGTACTCCACTCTACCTCCCAGTAATGGCACCCAGATAACTCCTCTTTGCACAACACCTGTGGGTCTGATCTATACCTCTCTGGGTGAGAAGGATAATCATGCCATGCTCCATTTGTTGCCTTTTTGTTTCCGTCAGACAGAGTGAGACGGTTGTGGGCAGTGTTTGGGTCCAGATGGAGATCACAGGCATCTGATGGAGAAAACATAACAAAGTATCTTATCAGTAACTTTGATGGTCAAACTGCTGGAGAACTCACATTTTTTACTCAAAAAAGCCTGACTTACACCAGATCAGATCTCTCTTGTCTGTGATGGTCTCCACAGAAGAAGGCTTTTGGCGTTGAAAGTCTTCATTGACCAGCTGGCCTTTCTTGTAGTGGTAGATGCTTGCTCCTTTGTAGTTGTCATTGGTTTTGGCCGTTATGAGGAAACGGAATTTGCTGTTGTTCTTCAGCCCTTTGGAAGCACCCTGTAAAGATGTGGCTTTTTCTCTCATTGATTTCAGAACTTCATCGGAGTAGTACCACTCCTCTTCATGGGTACTTCCTAACTTGGTTGATTTCAAGAAGTCAGCCATCTCATCAAGGTAGATATCACCCTTTAGCATGGAGGTGAAAACAAAGCACAGAACATCCTCTACACCTGAAGCAAAGACCTCTCTGTCCAGCTCGTTCTGGTTCAGGACGATCTTTACTCCCTCCATGGTGTCGACACAGGACTTGATGACGTTGATTTCTCTCTCTTTGTTACTCAGCCACTTGTTTAGTTTTTCATGGTTGAATGGTGACTTGTGCCCGTCTTCAAAGACTTTTTCCAGTGAGCTCTCCTCTTCCTTTCCTTCTCGGATGGAGGGAAGTTTCTCTGCCATGGCTTGCTGGATGTTGGTTTTATAATAACCACACAGTTTGAGGAAAGTGCTCAACTCTTCGTGAAGCACGGGGAAACTCTCTACCACTTTGTCTTCCAGAGAATCGTTGCATCTCATTTGTGTTTCCCTTAACTCCTCCAGAGCTTCCTGTGCCTTCCTCACTAACTCAATGCTGATATCTGTCCTCACCCCAGTAGCTGCAGGTTCAAACAGTTTCAGCGTCATCAGCCAGACCTTCACTGGGACTGAATTCTCTCCCTTTGTTCCCAGTAGCTGTGGAAGTTCTACATAGGTCTGCACTGCATCTTTAAATGTTGCTGGGATGCTTTCAAGAATGAAGTCTCCGTAGAATTTGCAGGAGAATTTCTCAGTCAGGGCTTTCTCTTCATCAGTCAGCTTGAGTTTAACACTTCCCTCAATATCTAAAGCAGGAATCTTCTTTATCACAGCGTGCATGCTGCCCTGGATGTCCTGAACCTCGCTGGCTTCTAACTTCTCACTGTCAAACACAAAGAAGGCATTTGCCCCATACACGATGCCTGTGACTACATGAGTCGCCCAGCCATTCTTGATGAGATCTGTTTGTTGTTGGCTCATCGCTTTGAGTTGAGTCATTGACAACTGTTTGAAGTTGGTGGTAGCTTTGTACTGAAACGTCACTCTGCTCTGATTCTTGAATTTCTTCTCATCATTCAGATATTTGGCAGATCCTCCAACTTCTATCAGTCCACTCATGAAACTGAGCTTCAGAGAAGCTTCAATATCCATCAGAGTGGACTTGGATTCGGTGGTATCAGATCCAGAGACTTCAAAATGACTGCTGTGTTTAGAGCTCTCAGTGACGCTGGCTTGTAGAACTTTATCGTCCCATAATTTTAAACCTAAAGAAATTGGAAAGCATAAGTTACCTGATAAAGCAGGGCGAAACTTTCTTTAAATAAACAGAAACAAATAATTCAGCATCTTGTCCATGAAATATGTGTGGGCCGGTCAGACTGCAGTCTAAAGCTCATGTGGACAGTTTCAAATAACTCTCACTGCCAGAAGACAAAAGGTCCACAGTGCTGACATTTAGATAAACAAACTTACCAGAGGCCCAATCATTCAACCTGTCAGTCGGCTGATTAGCAAGCCATCGTTAGCTATTTAGCTAGCACACGTTAGCTTTTTAACTATCAAACATTATCTATCTTTCTATCTGTAAATCAGATTAGTTAACGTCAGCTATATATCTACCTAGCTGGCTAGCTTACCTTGGCTACCTATCTTAAAAGCTACCGCCAAATTGGTGGCTCACGTAATGTAAATATGAGTTATTATTTAACCCCCTATGGTTAGACTTGCAGTTCGGACCTGTGTCTAGGTTCAGGCAGTGAGAGCCATTACAAAAACATTGCTGATGTGTTCTTTTTTCCTCACAGCTCCAAACATCAACGTACATTCTGAAATATTTTGAATACGTTTTTGGGATGAAATCATCACATATCGGTAACTGAAATAGTTTCTCGCCTGAAAAACTGTAATAGTTTGTAGCAACAATCACAAACTAATCTTAAACATGGATAAGGGTACTGTCAAAAGTGTCATATTTCACAAAGGGAAAGTAAACCATAATAATAGACAAATAGGAAAAACCTAACCCTACATCCATGAGTTCAAACACATTATCCAGACTTAACATAGTTCATAGTTAATTAAAACTGTCAAATGCAGGAGGACCAGCAAGTAAAAAACTCCCCTCAGAATGTAAATGTGTGAATGAAAGGGTTCACAATATTACTGCCAATAATATATAATTCAACACGTCAAGCAGGCGTAGGCTACCTTCAGACAGTGTGGGTTTATTATTAGGGTCTGAGAACAGAGGTCGGAGAAGACCCTATTCTAATCAAACCTGCAAAACACACAAAAACATTGGGAAAGAGACGGGCGAAAGGACAGAAACACTCCTCACAACATGGGGGACACACGTGCGCACACAGACGGGCGAATTGCGCAATTCATTATTGATATCGACGATAGGATTATTCTTATTATTATGATTTTCATTTCCCACTTTGAACGGAAATTTGACCCCCAGAACATATATAAAAACTCTACAAATGTTGCACGCGCGTCAGGATTGGTGAAAATGTGAAAATAGGTATAATAAATTCCGGTTTTAACGTAATCTCCCACCACTTTCACGTAAACAAACAAATGTTACTGCTGTTACTCCCATGGACATTGTCCGATCGGCCTGAAACTACCCACGTTTGCTAATGACCGAGTCCGTAAAACATCTGCGTGGCGCGTCGACGTGCGGACAACAGCGAATCTGCGCGGATTGTCGAAGACCCGCTCATCGCTGCTTGCAGCTTCAATTATTATAATTGTTTTAATTAGAAACCCTAAAATCAGCTGCTGCATGAATGAAAGTATGAAAAAAAAACTTATAATGCATATAGTCTGGGCCACTGTAACTTCACAACCCCCAAAGTGTTGCACGGTAATAAAGTCATTTGAAGTAAACCCTTTAATTTCTTCATATCTGTGTAATATTATTACACGATCCGTGCACCAAGCTTAGATTGTTCAGTAGACGATGCTTTTACATGAGTGGATAAAAACGTGAGAGGCTCTGGAGCAGGTAATGTGTTCAGCATAAGTTACAAAGAAGAGTTAACCCTGAAGTTACTGTGCTAACAATGATATGTGCATGGGAGGCGGGGGTCACACCCATCTTAAAACTCAACCCTTTATATTAATAACATTTCAGAAGAAAATGCTAGTTAAACAGAAAGGGTGTTTGTATCCCTAGTCCATAGGCAATAGTTAAAAGCACAATAATTATGAATTAAAGTCCAGAGAATACAATCAAACATCAAAAGCAGTGAATAAATATAAAATATCGAGATACAAATGGAAACTGCACTACATAGAGACAATAGGATCACCTCTAAAAACCACACAATGTCATTACAATAAAATGTTAAGTCTAGACTCTAGAGCAGGGGTTCTCAAAGTGCGGCCCGCGGGCCAATGGCGGCCCTCGGACATGTTTCTGGCGGCCCGCGATAGTTAATGTGACACGCTGAAATGCATGCGTTATATTTTAATCCTCCATGGTTGTATCTAGTAAGAATTAGAATGAGTAGCTTTCCAGCGGTATCTCCTGTGAGACTGTAACCAGGGCACAGCAGCCAATATGGCCGCTCAAAAGCAGCTTGACTTTACACTGTGTGGGATTGGTGGATTTGTGTGTCCGTCAAGGAAATCTCGGCCGGCAGCCATCGTCTGAAATGACCAATGGACATCGAGAAATCACTAAGGGCCTACCCACCAAGTAAAAAAAAACATAAACCACGTGTCTCCCATCAGTTTACGTCTTTGAGGAGAAAGAGAGAGACAGATAAAATGGCTAAAAAAAACTTTACAGTTGCCGACTTCGCTAGAGATTTTTTTCGCTAGCAGCAGTGAAGATAGAGCCTCAGAACCTGAAGTCTTCGACTCTTCTGAAGAAGAAGAATACAAAGACAACAACAAGGATCCATTTGGTCATGGGTAAGTGTAAATATTACAGTAATAGTGTACTGGCAATGTGGGGGGAATACCGCGAAAATGAACAATAGGTTTATTGATATATATTTTTTATCGATAGTCATGAACTTTTTATTGGGACAAAATAGACTCTCCATTAGCAAACGTTTACTCTGTGTTAACGTTATGTTGGTGTGTAAAAGTGAGATTACATGTGTAGATGATTAAATTAATCATGTATTCATCCCACAACGGAGACATTTACAGTGACATGTTTTTGCCATCGATTATTTTATCATACTGTTCTGTACAGATGAGACTTTGTCATAGATGTATTTATATGTGTGCCTGTTATTATTTTACCGTCCTGTACAGATGAGACTTTGTCATAGATTTATTTATATGTGTGCCTGTTATTATTTTACCGTCCTGTACAGATGAGACTTTGTAATCAGATGTAGCCTATGTATATGTGTGTCTGTGATTTTATACTGAATGTAAAGTAACTGGAAATACCTGTGCGTGTGTGTGTGTTTGTGTGTGTGTGTGTGTGTGTGTGAGAGAGAGAGAGAGAGAGAGAGAGAGAGAGAGAGAGAGAGAGAGAGAGAGAGAGAGAGAGAGAGAGAGAGAGCGAGAGAGAGGAGAGAGAGAGAGAGAGAGAGAGAGAGAGAGAGAGAGAGAGCGAGAGAGACTCCTTCTGCAACCTCCCAACTTTATTTTTATGTGTGCATTGTTATTTGTGCTTGAGCAACATTTTACTTGAACTTTATTTCAATGAAATTAGTTGTAATTATTGTCCTACACAGGCGGCGTTTATCCAGCAGCCACAACATCCATCTGTGCCTGCCCCCAGGTCAAGATCTACTGTGGCTCAAGGGCCTTCACCAGAACCATCACCACCAAGGACCAGCAGACCAGCATCACTACAGCTGCCTCCACCTCCATCTGCGGCTGCCACCAGGTCAAGATACACCTCAGCACAAAGGCTCCACCACAGCCATCACCTTCAACCCAGCCAGCAAGGAGGTCTCGTGGAGGTCTCGTATAGCACTTGTACACCCCACCTACACAGCAGCCCATGCACCATCACCCCCATCTTCACAGCAGCCAGACCCAATGTCTTGGAAGACAGACAAAGACCGTGACACTGTCTTGACATTTATAATGAATAGTTGGTTGAAAGTTCTGATGTTCAATATTGTAAATAGTGAGATTTTCCAGTTTCTTATATTTATATAAATAGTTGGTTGAAAAAAACATATTTATAATAAATTGTTGGTTGAAAAAAAAAGGTTGAATGCTCAATTTGTATTTGTACACATCACATGAACCTTGGTATGTAATATGAAGTCCTTATTCAGTCCTGATGTATCTCAGTCCCTGCTGTGGTGAAAGTAGAGTGATAAACACCTGTTTTACTCAAAATTTGAATTTAATGTTTTTCATTTTAGACATGAATAACACATTTATATACAGTGTAATTCAAATATTTCACTGCTTTTGTGATCCTAGGACTTTGGTAACCAAATCTAAAACACCAAAACAATTCGATCACATAAGTACATTTGTGTTTTCACAAGAGTTTTGAAGATTTTCCAAAAATCGGATTTCACATTTTAAACTTTTGAGCTACTTATCTCATCAAACAGTGCTCTAAGGTGAGTAATTTGCATATATAGCAAGACCAGAGATTGTCCTGAACATTTTGATATTTAACACATGGGGTGCCATGTTAGAAGAAATACATTTAAAAGGTGATTTAAGAAAACATCTAAAAATCGAGAAAATACCCTTAGACTCCAGAGGGTTAAGAATGGTAAAACTGCGCCCCCTGGGTTGTCATTCCTAAATTATGAATGACAGTTTGTGGAAAGTTTGCTAGAATACTGGTTGCATGGCAACTAGGCATCTCACGAGTTGCGGTAATTGGTTAGTACAATAAAGAAAGGATTTGTTTTGGAATTATTTTGTGTTCCGATTTTTCTTGGGCGGCCCTCAATCCAATATTGGGTACCTAAATTGGCCCTCACTCATAAAAACTTTGAGAACCCCTGCTCTAGAGGATATTATGTATGTTGAGACTTTTATGAAGTTTTGTGACAGAAAATAAATAACACTAACGTGACTGTCACAGTTGGTAAACTCTACTTACATTTTCACAACAGGCAGAAATATTTTAGAAATTATTTTTTAAATATCAAAGTAGTCAAAGTCAAGTCTTACCTGGGACCAGTTCATCTTTCCGGGCATCATAGAGCATCCCTAGGGTGAAGGGTCTTCCGAGGGCAGCAACGTTCATGAGATCTAAGTCCATTTGTTCAACCTGTTGAGAAGAAACAGCACAGACTTCAGAAACCGATTTAAACTTTTGTTAAGAAGTATTGAACGTTGACATTGTATTGTGGCTACAAATGCAGTATATCCCTGCAGACACTAATCTAGCAGCTGTTTTACAAAGAAAAGTAAAGTTTTTATAATAAATGTGTGTTCGTCTGTTAGTCCTCACCTGGTGAAGTTGTGTAGATCAGCAGAGTTGGGTGAGGGTCTTCTGACTTCCAGCAGGAGCTTCAAGTCTGATGAAATGTGATGTTGTGAGGTGACTTATATACTGTCAGATACTCTCCTCCCCTGACGTCCTGTTGTCACTCCTGAACACACCTGCCAAAACATTTCCCAATGTGACCTGCCTAACAGGCTGTAACGGCTTCCTCAGAATTATGCTATGACCATGTTATAAACAGATAGACAGAAAGTCCACTGTGCTCGGGATGCAGTATTTCCACAGACAAGAAAGAACATGTCTTAAACGGGTGACATCAGTAATACCAAGTCACCTGTTACAAAGAAATAAAGGATAGCATTTCATCTAGTTGTTTTTACAGACATCCTGTACCTGTGCAGACAGTGATATAAGATGTGATATACTGTAATCTACTGCGCATGAATAGTTGAATAGTTTCCAGATTATGTAATTCAGTTTTATGAGTAACTTCTAAAAAAAGGGAATGAAGGCACACAACGGCCGACTTGTTTATGTTTACTTTATATTCCACACATGGGGTGGAATGAAAGGGGCCTACTTTTTAATTCCAAAGTAAGGCTTTCAAAAGTAGGTTTCTGAGTTGTACTTCCTTGATTACTCTGACCTCATTATGTGACAATTATATTTCAGAATGTCGCTCATTCACCACCCCAAAGGTAATGCACTTTATGTTAGAGCTCCTCCACATGATCGTATGATGTCACTTCCTGTTAAGAGAGGAATTGCTGATACTTAACATGGCATCGCCAGCTTCATTTGAACGAGATCTAATCAATACATTTCTGAGACCTTGAAATCATCTTCAAGATCAGTTATCACCAGAAGAACCTGGAGCATATCATGTGGAAATGTAAAGTGCTCTGTAATGGATCATCAGCACAAAGCACCAAGTACAACATCTGACCAAATTCAAGATGGCCGCCTTGTTGTGGACCATATGTTTGACCAACTAGGGTCAGGGTTACAACGAGTCTTTTGAATATTATTCTAACATAAACAGTTTGAAAGTAAAGCTGAAAATGATTCAGGTCATCTCGACCAAGATGCAATGCTTTAGGTAACTTTCACCAGTTTAACCAGTAATGCTCAGAACACAATAAGTAAGCCACCATTCACCAGATTACAATGAATATATACAATTTACCAGAATGCAATTGATATAAAGTCAATAGCAAGAAAACTATGGATGTTACCGCGTTAGTCAGAATATAGTGGATGAGACACTTCTTCCAGAATACAATAAATAACAACAACTGGCCCTCAGTGTAAAGTCAGGTCTGAACTTTATTTTATATGTTGCTCAAGAACAGAGTGAACATATATAGATGTAATCAAAATAATAAATTTAACAAAACAGATATTCGTTGACTTTTACTTATACTATTGTTTTATATCTCATCATTCTAATGTTGATAAAGCATGTCTTAGCCTTATGCTAAACAGAAAAACCCGGCCCACACCGATTCCATAAGAACCTCCTATCTCACACCTGAACACATCTGTCATAACAGTTCTTATCGTGATGGGCCATGGCAAGATAACACCTTCCTGATGAGATAAACAGGAAGTCTCTTGTAGGAATGCAGAGACACTTCCCTGACACTGATTGGTCATCTTTTCTGCAGACTTCTTACATAACATGCTTCCAGAAATGAAAACAACCTCATGTAAAGATGAAATGTGTAAGCCAACTGCTCCACAGAAATACAGAGAAAGCTCTGTTAATAGTTCCATACATACAATCATTTATATATACAAACCCTAATTCCAATTTCATTCAGTAGAGACATGTTTCTGATCCAACAATATATATATTTCCAAGAAATACACAGATGAATGTAATGGTGTTTGGTGATTAGACCCGTTGTGCGGGAGTATCATCCGGGAGGGGAATACCGAGCCGATTAATCCCCCAAAAGAACAACAGTATCAGGCAGTTTGATGCACAGAGTTTCTTACTTTACTTGATGACAACGGGGACGTATGAGATAATGAATCATATTACCGAATAGCATTGAACTATATTGTGTGGAGGTGCACTTGAAGTGTGATGCGTTGGCCCTTTAGTCAAAGTCAACTTCATTGTCAAGAATTCCACGTGTTATACATACAGAAAATTAGAAATACCGTTTCTCGCAGTCCCACAGTGTGACATATATACATATAACAAGATACAAAAAGGTCCTAGATAAAAGGGGTATCAAAACTAAGTAATAAGTACTAGGTAATAAATATAATTAAAACAAAAAACACAATCAACAGAAACAGTAGCAGTAGCAGCGGAGATGAGAAGAAAAGTGACTGCTGCTGGATGAGGGAAGGTTGTGTTTGTGTGTGTGGGGTGGGGGGGGGTTAAAGTCCAGGTCCATTTGGGGCAGGGGAGAGAAGGGAGAGATGTCAGAGGGAGAGAGGGAGAGGAGAGAGAGGGGAGGAAGGGAGGGAGGGAGGGAGGGAGGGAGGGGAGAGAGTTCAGCATCCTGACCGCCTGGTGGAGGAAGCTGTTCCTCAGCCTGGTGGAGCGCGAGCTGAGGCTGCGGAACCTTCTCCCTGAAGGCAGGAGGCTGAAGAGGCTGTCGGAGGGGTGGGTGGAGTCACCCACAATGCTGAGTGCTTTGCGGTTGGAGGTAAGTACAGGCGCTGCTGGGCTTTCTTCGCTAGAGCAGTGGTGTTGTTTCTCCAGGTGAGGTCATCTGTGATGGTTACACCCAGGAGTTTGGTGCCGCTCACCTGCTCCACAGCAGCACCGTTGATGGTCAGGGGGAGAGGGGGTTGGTAGTTGGTTGTCCTGAAGTCAATAACAATCTCCTTTGTTTTCTCCAGGTTGAGGAGGAGATTGTTGTTTTGGCACCACAGGACCAGCTGGTTCAAGTTTTATTTATTTTCATTTAAATAGCACATTTATAAACGATTTTTGGTCGAGCCAAAGTGCTGTATATATAATAAAATTAGCCTACAGTAGAGACACTTTACAGCAAATACAACAACACAGATGGTTCACTTCCTTCCTGTAGTTAGTCTCATCGTTGTGGCTGATGAGACCCACCACAGTAACGTCGTCAGCAAACTTCACAATGTGGTTGGAGCTGAAGTTGGGTTTGCAGTCGTGGGTCAGCACACATCCTTGGGGGGCCCCCGTACTCAGTATGAGGGTGTTTGAGGTGTTGTTGTTGACCCGTACAGCTTGTGGTCTCTCTGTGAGGAAGTCCAGCAGCCAGTTGCAGAGAGAGGGGCTGAGGCCCTGGGGACTCATGTATAACGCTGTGCGTAGGATTCACGTGGGAAGGTTGCTTACGTAGTAGAAATCCAAAAAATAGGTACAGATATTTTCCGACATTTTCCGATTCACAAAACATTGCGTACCGGCGAAGAAAGTGCGTACGGCACTTCCTACGCCGGTTTCCCTTTGTAAATCACAATCGACTCGAAATGCGGTGCAGCTTTTGCGGGCTTCACGTAACGCCCATATTTGCCTATACATAGTCAAAGAAACGCCCATTCATTCATTCATTCTGACTGCATGGAGAAGATCGCAGGAAATGACGACAGAACATGGTTGGTTATGTTGGGGAGGTGGAGATAAATCATATTGTTTGGTGGATGCAGTTTGAACCAGAGTAGCAGCATGGAGGTCGGATCGTCATCAAACTAAATAAATAAGTGGTATGACAAAAACAATACACATAGCCTTCCTCAGGCAGTGTGTTTGTACCGGGGACAGGAGACCCCCCCTTGATGAGAGACTGTAAGAAATGATCGGGGAATCCCCCCGGAGTGGAGTCATGACGACTGGATCTGAATTATGTTTTTGTATTTGGTGGTTTGTGTCCCAGCTGTCGATCAGCTGTGCGCAGCGTCTCCACTGCAGCCTGTGCGTCTCAACCCCCCCCTCAACCCCCCCCGCAGCAACTCTATATCCACCAGTTAAAGGAAATACAACTAATGTGTTGCGTTATATTAGCTGTTCAATTGACCAGATATGGTGTTCTTAGCTTCCATACCTCCTGTGTTTTACGAGCAACTTATCAAGTCTTGGCAAACGGCATAAAACACGATTAAACGTGATAGTATATAAAACCATGCTCGTATCTACAGTCTATAGAAATGCAACACGGCGTCAGTTTAGACGTAATTCTGTCCTTCTGCTCACCGCATCATTTATGAGAAAACATTTCATAACATTAACACAACATATTCGAGGTGGTTTTAAATAACATATCCGTATTTATTTATTTCTCCAAGTTATGTTCCTGTGTGCACTGAGGAGTCTCAAACAGGCGTTTGTTTAATCATTTTAAGATTGGCTTTAATCAATGTTTGAAAATGAATTCTACATTCTACAGAAAAGGTGGAAGTGCTGTCACTTACTTTTGCAGACACCAAAATACATGACGTTGACCTAATAATCACATTAATTATATATGTTGAATAAATAGAGATAGTCTTTGCTATGGTACTAAATACAAAATAAATAAAAAATGGTTTTATATGTAAATTGCAATTTATTTAAAATGCCAAGTTCAAGGAACTGCCTTGTCACTTTGATCATACATGGAAGTGGAGCTATAGTTTTAATTTAAAATGGTTTTTTTTCAATAAATAAATCTAATTCATATTTACATAACATTACAAGCATTACATATAACACTGACATGGTAAAAAAAAACGCTAATTATTATTATAGTCCTGGACTTCGAAAAAAATGTCGGCTATAGGGATCATACAAACCCATTATTCTTAGAGATAAAATTATTAAAACTGTCAGATCTTGTTGAATTCCAAATTGCACAAATCATGTTTAAGGAAAAACACTTTCAATTACCTGGGAATATTCAGATATTGTTCAATGAAAGACAAGGGAATTATAATTTACGTGGTTCATTTATATTCACTTATGTTAGGGTGCGCACAACAAATACACGTTTTTGAGTTTCTGTTTGTGGGATGAAGATCTGGAACAATGTGAGTGAGGAGCTAAAGGGATGTCCAAACATCAAACTATTCAAAAAGAGGTATAAAGACACAATTCTCACAAGGTACAGGGAGGACACTACTAAACCATAACTGTTTATATTCTTGTTTTGTATTCAATTTATGTTTATGAATT